TATGCAGCGCTCATGAACAGACTAACGAAGCTATGGCACCCAAAAGGCGAAATTATTGCGGCTGATCAGGTTAATGGCCATTACGTGGTCCGACTGAGTCATGAAGAGGATTACAATAACGCAATTCTCAACGGCCCGTGGACAATCGGAACAACCTATCTCAGGGTCTACCCTTGGACACCCAAATTTAATGCTAAAACAGAGAATTTGTCAGCGGTCGCGACTTGGATAAAAATTGCCGAACTTCCTCTCTAATATTACCATGACTCCGCAACGTTGTCAAATCTATTGGGCCCTATATTAAATTAAGGCAGATCGTAGTACCTTGGCGGCTGAAAGGGGGAAATATGCGCGTGTTGCTGTTCAATTGGATCTAACAGAGTCGCTGAAAGGTATGGTAGAAGTCGATGACGTCTTCTACAAAGTTGAGTATGAAGATCTCCCAGCAATTTGCTTCGCTTGTGGGAAGTACGGCCATGTAACGGAGGCTTGCCCAACCTTTCCGGCGATAAAGGTGACGGATTCAGCACCTGAAAGTGATGTCAGTAGCCCGCATAACGGTCAGACACTGGAGCCCACAACGGTCAATATATCGATTGCTAGCCCGTCCGGAACTAAACCGGTTGAACCCCAACGACCTAGTGGAATTGGGGAATGGATGCAGGCTCCAAAACGAACTTGGAGGGGTCCACCAAGAAACAATACAACGGTAACTGATCGCAGGAGAACATTGTCAGGAGCTAAAGCGGTTTCCTTCTTCAACAACTCTTTCTCGCCCCTAGTTGATTCTAGTGAAGATGCGGGTAGGTCTGAAAAAGCGGGCCCCAATGAGTTTGAGGAGCACAGGATCGCGACGGGGCCCAAGAATTTCGTTGTGGGAGCTGTTACTACTAAGGGTTTGGACTCTAAAAAAGGGTCGGTTGGTGGTAAGAGGAAAAATGAGATTAGGGATACGTCTACGTGGGTTCCAAAAAAGTCAACCAACAAGGGCAAAGCTGCGGCCCTCACAAAGGCCCAGGAGATAGAACAGGCATTAGCCCAACAACATGAAGTCTCCCTGAGCCCAGTAAGGCAACAAACAGAAACCAACCTAAGCTCTTCTCAGGATCTTATCAGCAAGGATAATGCAAATATTCCAAGTGGGCCTGTCAAATCAGTGTCTAAAACAAGTGTAGAGGGCAGTCACACAGTGGTCCACATCTCGCACCCGAACAAACCGCCGATGACCGGTGAAATGGAGGAGGACCAGGTGTCGGGAGAATATCTGGAAACACAGCTGGTAAGGAGGCCGGTCCCACCGGATTTAACAAAAGCTTTCCATCTTAAGACGCCTCTCAAAATCAGGTCAACTCCAGCTGAGATAAAGGACATTTCGACGATGCGTCATCCTGAATTGTCCGAATCTCGGATGGAAGAGGACCAACAGACAGTAACGGAGCTAATCCTAAAACAATCGCTGCTGTTAAATCACTTATTGATAGGTTTAAATTATGCTTAATTGTCTTAATTGAACCTAAAGTTAGTGGTGTTAATGCAGACGACACAATTAAAAAAATTGGTTTGAAGAACTCGCATAGAATTGAAGCAGTTGGGTTTTCAGGTGGCATATGGCTCTTATGGAATGATTTGGTCTCTGTTAATATTATCTCTAATGACTGGCAGTTTATTTCCTTTAAGTTATGTTTCCCTAACAATAAGCAGGCTTTGGTAACGGCGGTGTATGGCAGCCCACAACCACAAATTAGACGTCGCTTATGGAGGATGCTAGATGAAATATCTGTTGATGTACAGGAACCTTGGCTTGTTTTTGGTGATTTTAATGCCATTACAGATGAAGGTGACAAGGTTGGGGGCAGAAAATCCAAAGGGTGTAGATGGTGGTTCAGAGAATGGATTCAAAATTCCGAAATGTCTGATCTAGGTTTCACAGGTTCAAAATTCACGTGGTCAAGGGGTCGTTGTCATGTTAGGTTGGACAGAGCTTTAGTCAATGAGGAGTGGGGAGCTAGTTTTATGAAAACAACGGTTACCAACCTGCCTCGTGTGGCGTCTGATCATTCGCCGATATTGGTCAGCATAAAAGAGATTACTGGCCAAGCTCCTATACCCAAACAGTTCAGATATCTAGTAATGTGGGAATCTCACACTAAGTGGCATAAGTGGTTGAAGGGAAGCTGGTGCAAAGAGCGTAGTTTACAGGAGGCGCAAGACATCTTAGTCAGCAGAATCCAGGAAGTTTGACATTTGGTTAAGCGTAAAAACAGAGTTTTGGCAAGATTCAATTCTAAGCTAAACCCATTCAACTGCAGTCAAAATGAGCCCTGCGTTGATAGAAAGAGAGCTCTTTTCATGAAACTAGAAATATCGTAATAGAAGAATCAGAATAAGGCCCAAAAACTCCCATTTCTTTCTTTGGTCAACAACCAAGAAAAGCTTTCGTTTAGTTCTAAGTCTCTCTTTTTTTGGGGGAGCGGAGCAGTCAAAGAATGAAACAAAGCAAATGATTGTTCTAGAATGGCTATTCCTCACAATTGCTCCTTGTGATGCAGCGGAACCATGGCAATTAGGATCTCAAGACGCAGCAACACCTATGATGCAAGGAATAATAGACTTACATCACGATATCTTTTTCTTTCTCATTCAGATTTTGGTTTTCGTATCATGGATCTTGGTTCGCACTTTATGGCATTTCCACTATAAAAAAAATCCAATCCCGCAAAGGATTGTTCATGGAACTACTATCGAGATTCTTTGGACTATATTTCCTAGTATCATCCTGATGTTCATTGCTATACCATCATTTGCTCTATTATATTCAATGGACGAGGTAGTAGTAGATCCGGCCATTACTATCAAAGCTATTGGACATCAATGGTATCGGAGTGCGCCCCTTCACGAGGGTGATTTAAGTGCAACGAAATGCCTTAAAGTTGAATAGGGTTCGCGAAGTATCTGGCTTACTGGTAATCTCCCATTCCCGCCGTCGAGAGACTTTAATAACTATAGCATGCCAGAAACGGGGAGTTGAGGTGGTTAGACTTATACCCCGAAATGCTCCCAGCATAGGAGCCTATGGTTCCATTATGGTTGTTGCTGGAGGTACACATCCCTCTTCTCGGTGTGGAACGATATACGAGAAATAGATGCTCAGCCTGCAATGTCCGATAACGGCGCTGAAGTAGTGAATCTATCGGCACCATAGCAGTGGCATACAACTTTGGACCTAACGGCCAGCCTAGTAACCTTTCGGAATGGGGGATCCCCGTTGGCAACAACCACGGTAGTAGTTGCGGAACTACTGGGCCGGGAGAGGACACCCTGTTGTTCCTGCTCCTCTTTCTTCGCTTCGGGGACGGAGGTCCTACGGTAGGTAACAGCAGGCACAAGCAACTTGACCGAAGGGGACCAGCGCTTCTACTCCTCCACCGAGGACAGCGAGAAGGAAGGGATGTCGTGAACGGTGAGAGGTCACAGAGAATTTACCTATACCTATTCATAGAGTGATCCTATGATCGATACAGGATATAGACTATCCCTTTCTTTATTCTATTCTTTTTTCTGAAAAAAAAAGATGAGCCTTTACTAGGTTGGGGCTATGAAGCTTACCTTATTATTAGAGAAAGGGAGAATGGAAACTGGGATCAAACGGAGACATAAAAAAAATGAAAAGAAGGGTGACTCCACTTCTCAACTAGAGTTGGGGGTGAGACCTGTTGGCATAATGCACGCTGGAACGTGGGAATTCGCTTTCCGTGGTGAACTGGTCGTTCCATACCTTCTGCCTGTCTGATATGTGTGGAACCAAACCAGGGCTTTTTCGGTTCCAGCCTCCCCCTCAAATACATAGTCTAGGTAGGGCTGGGTGAGAAAGGGTTCCCTGTTGCCAATAAACTTTCCCCAGCCTTTGATTTGATTACCCTTACTCATAAAGGGTTTTACGGCCGGGAGAACTAAAGAAAAATAGTGTTCTTTCTAAGAGTAGGCGTGGAGAGCTTTTTGCGAGGAAACTTGCAAGTCAAGTTTGGGGGGAGGCGGGCGTCGACCCAACCTTATGAGTATTCGGACTATAACAGTTCCGATGAACAGTCACTCACTTTTGACAGTTATATGATTCCAGAAGATGATCCAGAATTGGGTCAATCACGTTTATTAGAAGTTGACAATAGAGTGGTTGTACCAGCCAAAACTCATTTACGTATTATTGTAACATCTGCTGATGTACTTCATAGTTGGGCTGTACCTTCCTTAGGTGTCAAATGTGATGCTGTACCTGGTCGTTTAAATCAGACCTCTATTTTGGTACAACGGGAAGGAGTTTACTATGGTCAGTGCAGTGAGATTTGTGGAACTAATCATGCCTTTATGCCTATCGTCGTAGAAGCTGTTGATAGGAAAGATTATGGTTCTCGGGTAGAAAATCAACTAATCCCACAAACCGAACAAGCTTAAGCGGAAATGAAAGAGTAGAGTGAGGGAAAGGGTGGAAAGCCACTAAATTGAAGGTACGAGCTCTCACGCTCCTTTAGTAGACAGCGAGTGGAGTGCATAAGCCCCTTTAGAGATAGGGGCGAGTACTACACGAGCTCGTAAGTAAAGTACGGAACGAGCCTTGTCTACGAAGCAGAGCGACCTCATCTTGCTTGCTTCTGGCGAAGCTTCTAGCACTATATAATAGGCATTCTGGTATGGCAGGAATACTACTTTTTAGCTCGACCACTACATAGGAGCGATAGCGAAACCAAGCCGTATAAAGGCGAGCAGCTCTTGTAGCAATAGCAAACGGCCTACTTATAGCCCTTTTCCCCTTTCTTTGGGGACTTAAACAGGCCTTACAAGCTCATAAAATGGCAATTCTTCACCCTTTACTCAGACAGAAGAAGAACGGATTGAAGAGGACAGGACAACCGGGAAGAGAAGCCTGACATAGTAGATATTGATTTGAACAAAGGAACTGAAACCGGTACCAGAAACCAAACAAGAGATGGAATTCTAAATGGAACAGATAAAACTCTTCAACTAGAAGAATTCACCTCCCCCACCTTATTAAGCAATTAGTCTCACAGTAACTACTAGGCCTCACCTCAGCGGTAAGACCCTTTTTCCGAGAAGGAGCTACTCGCCGATCAAGCGGAACTCCTCTTCTGTCTTACTAAACCCAAGCTAGTAATAGGTCTGCTGCCCTCCCCCTCGTCCTTGCAGTCTTTTGACTCCCCACTTCACAAGATATTTATTATAATCCTAATGACCCATTAATTACTTTTCTATCTTATCTTTAGTAAGGTTGCTTTACATCCAGCTGACATAGATTCAGCTGCAAAGGCGGTAGTTTTAGGACCTGGACCGTTGCGTTGACTGTGAGCAGAGAACTCGTCTTTCACTGCTAGGTCAGCTAGCCTATTTCGTAGTTGCAGGTGGGAAGGTTAAATACAGCCTTCGATCCCGTAAAAGTTCCAAGCTATGCAATTGAAGAGAAAAAGTCCTAAGCCAATGTAGTTGCATTGGTAAAAAAAACCCCTGGAATTGCTTTACTTCTGCCTCTCATTACTTCAATTGGCAGTGTATCACGAGTGTAGGATTCCTTTTCATGTTACAGGTTTAGCATCCCCCATAGCTTTAGTTCTCGTATGTTTAGTGAGGAGATGATAATTTAACAGCAAAGATAGAAGCAGTGGATTGGCCACAAAAACCTCTTCTCTTTCTCAACGAGAAAATAAAGAGAAAGGAAAAAAGCAGAACTCGCATCTGCTTCCTAAGGAAAGTAAGTAAGCTAATTTCTTGAAAAGTTCTTTCGATCCGGAAAGTGGATTGACAAAAGAGATTAGAGATAGGTAAGATTTTTTCCATGATTAGAGAGATGAGATAGGACAGGATAAGCTAGGGCCAGTTCCCGGTCTCCTTATGCTGTAACAAGTGTTGGAGCGAAGGTATTTTCCAAGTTCTTCTCTATCTGACTACCAAGCAGTTGATTATGTAACAGGTGCTTAGCTTATACTTATAGTAAGCACTATATTGATCTTTCTTCTTTCTTAACTTAAGAGCTCTATAGCGCCTTAGAATGCGCCTTCTGTACCTCATGTGTGTCGTTAAACGTTGGTTTCTCAGTAAGAAGGTACGTAGTTACTCGTACGAAGTCACTAACCTGGTTAGGTCTAGGCTTGCCTCTAGATCCTTACGTGACGTGAAAGGCCTCGCCCGAAAGCGAGTGACATAGTCAATTACATCGACCCTCGTTCTTGATGTATGACGTAGGTAGCTTCGTCAACAGGAACTCACACCTCTCTACCCACAATCAGTTCTCTTGCTTGTCTGAACAGGACAGGCAGGGGAGGCATAGAAGGGAGTGGTCAATTCCCGAACTCCGTAATCAGTCTTTCGACGCTAGATCATTTCTAAGGCTTGTTATCATGAGTTTGATGGTCTGAATGTAGATCCCCCTTAGCCGAGCATAAAGCAGAACCATCTGAGCTCTGAGCACACCGAGCGGCGCAAAGCGAGCATTAAGGAAAGACAAGCGGAAAGTCAAGCCCCTTGCCCAGCACTGAGAGAGCGGGGCCTAGGAGTGGAGCTAGCACCGACCAAACAAAACAATGGCCAGTAAAAAATCATTATCCTTTGAAGTGGATTTCGTTGAGCATAAAACCAGGCGAAGAGTCTAATTACTGCTTTTCTGTTGTTTTACTTTATAGGGTCATAGAAAATAAAATACATAAAGCCGCTATGTTTCCTTCAAAGCACAGATCGGATTCGTTCACTGCTAAACAAGAGTTCCGAGTCGATTTGGTCTCAATCCTTTCTTCTCACTATAAATAGGTAAATCGCACCTTGGTTCTTACGCAGCATTTTAAACCTTTTTTACGACTGTCTTTCCTCATTGGCTGTATTGATGCCATAAAAGACAGGAAATCGTAACTATTGAAATGAAAGAATCTAAGGATATAGGACAGACCCTATAAAGTATCTCGTTTCAAAGAACCTGGTGAACTGTGCTTTTCTCTTCTCTTCTATTCACCTTAGACGGAGATATCTCGAGTTGATCAGCGTAGCGAGACAATGGATTAATGGTATCAAAGCTATCCAACAAGGTAGGTAGCAACATATTCTATAGAAGGATTCCTTTATTACTTTACCCCTTTTTATTCGGACTGGGAATTGGCGATAGCTTTTCCTCGAGTGAGTCCATGTAGTGAATTCTAGTAGTTTTTATTGCAACTTCTAATTGCTTTACCTCCTTCGTTCCGTATGAACCGGCTTCTTCTTCCTTGAGTGCTTTACTAGGGCCTAACAGCTCTTTGAGTGATCGAGTTCAGTTCACAAGCTTTGATTCGTGTTTGCCTAGTTCTTTTGCTAATAAGGCAATGTCCATTGATTCCAGCGATTATGATTTCGGTTATGACGACAAGGCGCGAAATCCCTGAAGCAAGGTTAACATTTCATAACTTTCTACCACCTTTTGCTGTAGAAGGACCGACGCTAAGCGCACTACTCCCAGGCAAGGTCATAAGAACCTTTGGAAGGCAATCCAACGAACTTGGAACTACGGTAGCTTACTTACGCATCTGGGGCTTTATGATTAGCTGGTGACTCTATAAAGGTTAAAAAAGAGATAGCAAGGAGGGACTCCTCTTAACTAGAACAACCAACCTCGCGGCTTCTTTCGCAGTAATGAAGAGTCAAAAAATTCCTTTCTTTCGTATACAACTCGTTTACTCGTGTGACTACGTTTTCTCTTCCCTTAGCCGGAGTAGTGAGTTCCCCCCTAGTCTACTTATAGGCGTATAGATCCTCTAAAGGAGTAGCGAAGCGCTCTTCCGTCTAGTAGCAACTCCGAGTTAGCTGGCTCTGCCGTGCCTATAGCAAGGTATATTCTGGTTAATGTTATTTTCTTCATTCTACGGCTTTAAGGATTCTTAGTCCGAGGTCTAGGCTAATTCCTTCTGTTTAGTTAGAATTGCTTTCCTTTCCATGCTCTGGTATGAACACTATAAGGGATTGAGAAGAATTAATCGAATGGATTGTTGCCTATGCCTAGATCTCGAATAAATGGAAATTTTATTGATAAGACCTTTTCGATTGTAGCAAATATCTTATTACGAATAATTCCGACAACTTCAGGAGAAAAAGAGGCATTTAGCTATTATAGAGATGGTGCGATTTGAGTTTTTTTATTTTTTTCATATTGATTCTCTCAGTCTTACGAGAAAGATACTCGACTCTAGTCGATCCATTTTTGAAAAAAAAATAGAAAAGATATATACGCTTACTGAAGGTGAAACTTGGAAATAGATCAATTCCTTCTGTCGCGTATCCTCGATTAATGCAACCTCATATGCTATGTTTCTATTGTGGATTCTAGTATTCAGCGAAAGGTTACACCTAGGGAAGGGAGTTCTCTTCTGTATTATGAGTTAATACGACTCTACTAGTACTAATAGGCAGCATAGGGGAAGACGCACTACATTTAGGAATCAACAACACAAAGAAATTGTTGGAGGTATCTTTTCTATCTAGTTCCACTAGTCCCAATAGGCTGGTGTTAAGAAAAGATCTCTTGCAGGAAGGTTGGCTAGAGATTTCTTGTAAAAACACTAGCCCCGGCCAGTTCATAATGAGAATATGTTAATCTTTTTTATTTTAGATTAGATTTTTTATTTTCCTTATGCACAATAGGGTGGAGCTGTATGAGATGCAAATCTCACGTACGGTTCTGAAACGGAGGGTTTTAAAATTGAACGACGACCGTAACGGATGTCAGCTCAATCCGAAGGAAATTATGCGGAAGCTTTACAGAATTATTATGAAGCTATGCGATTAGAAATTGATCCTTATGATCGAAGTTATATACTCTATAATATAGGACTTATACACACAAGTAATGGAGAACATACGAAAGCTTTAGAATATTATTTTCGAGCACTAGAACGAAACCCATTCTTACCACAAGCTTTTAATAATATGGCCGTGATCTGTCATTACGTGCGGCTATCTCCACTATAGAAACAAAAAAGAAAGAAAAACTCTACTCTACGAGTAACGACTGCAAAAAACTAGGCTTTCTACATATGCATCGTCGAAAATAACGATTTATATTAGCTGTAGTAACTTCATAGGAGTCGAAATAGAAAAAAATAGATAGATAATAGGCCTAGTTACTTTTTCTATGGATAAAAAAAAGGATCTAATTGATAGAAGAAGCGCCGTAAAGATCAATTCCCCGGGTTTTAGGCCGATAGAATAATAACTGCGTACTACTTATGTCAGGCTGCTCATATAGATAGCCTTATCGCATGATGTGAGATAAAAATTAGGAATCGACTTATGTAATAGAGTTGATCCCCTAAAGTTTTGCGCAGCGGTGTAGGATCAATCCCAAAGAAAGAGAGGAAAAAGTGGAATCCTCCATCGAACCAGGATTAGAAGGGCCTACATCCTTATTGTTCGGCACTGGGCTT